CTTGAGCCCAGGAGTTGGAGGTTGCTGTGAGCTGTGATGCCATGGCACTCTACCCAGGGGGACAGCTTGAGGCTCTGTCCCAAAAAAAAAAAAACAGGGCCTTCTGGAGACTTCTCAGTCCCCCATCATGTGCCTCAGAAAGGAGGTAGGGACAAGGAAATACAAGAGAACAGAGTTGGGCTACAGAGAGGCAACAAATGACCCTCACTTGAAAACCACTGGTAATAAGGTCAGGTGCATTGGCTTATGCCTATAACCTCAGCACTATGGAAGGATAAGGCAGGAAGATTACTTGAGACCAGGAGTTTAAGACCAGCCTGGGCAAAATAGCAAGACCGTATCTCTACTGGATGTGGTAGCAACACCTGTAGTGTTAACTACTTGGGAGCCTGAGGCAGTAGATTGCTTGAGCCCAGGAGTTTGATGTTGCAGTGAGCTGTGATCAACCCACCGCACTACAGCCTAGATGACAGACCGAGACATAAATAAATAAATAAATAAATAAGTAAATGGGCCAAGCATGGTGGCTCACAACTGTAATCCTAGTACTGAGAGGCCCAAGTAAGAGGATCACTTGAGCTCAGGAGTTCAAGGCCAGCCTGAGCAAGAGTGAGACCCTGTCTTTATTATATTAAAAACAAAAAAAGGATATGAAATTGATAACTTCACGAGACAAAGCTAAAACATGGGAAGGGAAGACACCCAAATGATTGTCTTTTGGTGACTTGACAGTTTTCTGTTTATTCAGGTATAAATTTTAAACTCTGGCATCCTATACTTTTATGATGGGGAAAACAATCTTATTTTCTTTTCTTTCTTTTTTTTTTTTTGAGACAGAGCCTCAAGCTGTCCCCCTGGGTAGACTGCCGTGGCATCACAGCTCACAGCAACCTCCAACTCCTGGGCTCAAGCGAGTATCCTGCCTCAGCCTCCCAAATAGCTGGGACTACAGGCGCCCGCCACAACACCCGGCTATTTTTTAGTTGCAGCCACCATTGTTGTTTGGCGGGCCTGGGCTGGATTTGAACCCGCCACCTTAGCCACTTGAGCCATAGGCGCCGAGCCAACAATCTTATTTTCAAAGTTTCATGTGGTACACACTCATTCACCCTAATGCTTCCACTCAGCTGCCTGATCTTGCGGCCTTCAGGAGATCCTCTGGGAGGAAACTTTGCTGGCCTTTCTCATCCTGTGCAAGTCCTCTCACGACTGTAGGCAGTGGTAAGAGTGCCTGAGCAGACACTCAACACCCAGTCCCCCATATTGCTAAGCAGCTTGGAGGTTCATCAGGAATAAGGGCTAAGTCCTGCCCTCAAGGAGAACCCACAGACTCTTAGAAAATGCAGGAGCTGGGACAGAGCTTTAGAGAAGGTTAATATCCTCATACTTCAGACCCCAGATGAAGACCAGGCCTCTCTGATTATCAACTTCTGGCCTAAAATAGATTATTTTTTATTTATTTATTTATTTATTGAGACAAAGTCTCACTTAGTCATTCTGGGTAGAGTGCTGTAGCATCACAGCTCATAGTAACCTCAAACTCTTGGGCTCAAGTAATTCTCTTGCCTCAGCCTCCCAGTAGCTGGGACTACAGGCGCCTGCCATAATGCCCCGCTAAGAAATAATAATAATCTTGTTAACCTGAACATGCTACCCCTCAGTGACATTATTGCCACTCAGTGTTGCTCAGGATAGGCCAGTAGATACCCTAACTAAGCTGCCTCCTATGTCACTCCAGAGTAGCCCCTTTGCTGCAGTGGCTCAGGCTGCCCCAACGTACAGGGGCTTTCTCCTCTTCCTGTCCTCTGCCAGGCAGGCCTTTCCCTGCTTCCTCAAAGGTCAGATCTATCCCAGATACAAAGCCTGTTTGTGTCCCTATAGTGGCCAATGTGCCTGGGAACACACTGCTTCATGTTATCCTCCAGTAAATGTGGGGTGAGAGTGACACCCCTTTGCTAGTAGTCTGTGGGTTCCATAAGGGCAGAGATGGAATCTAGGTTTTTACTCTGCTACACTCATACCCCTGTCCCATAGCTGCTTGGCAATAAGTAACTGCCAAGTAAACAAGTTAGCAGGCTGTCTTCTTGGCTCCCATACACCCCTCATTTCTCTCCTGCCACACTTAGCCTCCGAGGGAACTTATGTCATGACTAGGATCATTAGGATGTGGCTGGGTACAAGGACACACCTACTGCCCTCACAACCAAACCCTCTCCTGATGACCCTCTAAGACCCAAAATCCAGGATCCATGATGCACTTACTCTCCAGAATGTGGGGGCTGAGGGCTGGCCACCTGATTCTGCTTGGCTTTCTGCTCCATTTTAGCTTCAATTTCCCGTTTCTTCTGAGCAATGAGCTCTTCTTGGTGAAGGATGTTCATGTTCATTTTTCCAGATTTGGGGGGAGCAACCCCAAACCACCGGTTAGCCTTCCCTGTGAAAGAAAAAGCAGTGCATTAGAAATCATCTTTGCTCCACAAACACCCCTAGAGGCTGCAGCAAGCCAGACACAGCAACTGACATTCAGATTGATTCATATGTCCATTTGTTCATTTATTCAGCAAACACTGAATGCCTGCTATGGACCAGGTGCTGTACTAGGTGCTAAATAAGAGAGTTTGGGCCTCTGGAGGACTCACCTCTGGACCTCTGGCTGGGGAGACAATGGACCCATAACAAAAAAGCAACTACAAAATGTGATAAAAGCTCTGCTAGAAATCAAAAAAGGGTCAGAAAGTGTAATAAAAGAATTCCTATATGGGTAGGGCAGCCAGAAAATAAACATCAGAAAAGGGTACATTTAAGCTGGAACTAGAGGATAAAGAGCCAGTATCGTGAATAAGTCAAATGGGGAGCAATCTGGGCACAGGAAGGAGCACATGTAAAAGCCTAAGACAGAAAGAAGCCTAGTACATCTGAGCATCAGCAAGGGCCCAGCATGGCCCAAGTGAACTACTTCAGGTATGGACAGAAGTAGGGCAGGATACGGAGTCTAGGTTTTATATTAAGGAATTTGGGAAGTGACAGAGAAGATTAAGCTGTGGAATAATAAGATCCAGTGGGTCTTTTTATTTTTAGGATCATACTCACTACTAGATGATCATTCTGCCCATAGGGTATGCAGGCAGCAAAGAGACCAATGAGGCTCACTGGCTGCAAGCAAAAGACAATGATGTCTCCAGACTAGGATGGTAGTGGTGGAAAGAGAGAAAACTCAAAAGTTCCCTGTGAAATTCAGAATAAAATCCAAATTCTGAAAGTTGATTTTTCAAAAGCCTGTCAAGAGATGGCTCCCCCC